ATACAGTATATCAACCAATACTTTTAATTTGGGCTTTAATGGGCCAATGAAAATAAAATTATTCGGCCCAAATCTCCGTTGTGCATATATCGAACAAAATCAAAGAAACTTCAAAAAACTCTTCCAAATCCAATTTTCTTAAAATGTTGGTAACTAAAAACCCTAAACCCTTAATTCCTCAAATCTTGCTTGTTTATCTTCGCCAAATTGGTTCAAGAAGCAGAGAAATTACAGTTGATTCTTCGACTCGTACGTACCAATCAGGACCTGCTTCAAGCCCGAGTTTATCGATATGGAGACGGAAGAAAGAAATGAGCAAAGAAGGTTTAATCGCTGCTAAAGAACTCAAACGTCTTCAAACCAAATTAGTCCGACTCGATCGATTCATTTCTTCTCATGTCTCTCGTCTTCTTAAATCCGATCTTGTCTCTGTTCTTGCTGAATTTCAAAGACAAGACCAAGTTTTCCTCTGTATGAAGGTAAAAAAAAAAGTCCAAACTTTCTCAATCTCTCAATTGCAATTTTTGGTTAAAAGGTTCAATTTTTTTGATGGGTGTTAAATTGTTGATGTTTAATTTGGTTTAAAGGTTTGATTTTTATTGTTATTCAGCTGTATGAAGTTGTGAGAAGAGAGATTTGGTATAGACCGGATATGTTCTTTTACAGAGACATGCTAATGATGCTTGCAAGGAACAAGAAAGTAGATGAAACCAAGAAAGTATGGCAAGATTTGAAGAAAGAAGGAGTTTTGTTTGACCAACATACATTTGGAGATCTTGTTCGAGTGTTTTTGGATAACGAGCTTCCGTTTGAAGCAATTAGATTGTACGAAGAGATGAGAGATTCTCCTGATCCGCCTTTGTCTCTGCCTTTTCGAGTTATTCTTAAAGGACTTGTTCCTTATCCTGAGTTAAGAGAGAAGGTGAAAGAGGATTTCTTGGAGCTTTTCCCTGGAATGGTTGTTTATGATCCTCCCGAGGATTTGTGCGACGAAACTGATGAAGAAGATGAAGCAAGAACGGATAGCGATCTTGATTAAAGAGGTATATTCTTTTGAGATATTGCTTTGTCTTAGTTTTGTTTTCCATTGTATGTGATTGCTACTTGGTTTTAGTTAGTGCTTGAAATCTTAAGTGTTGAGAGATTCTTCTTGAAGCTGATCTGATTTATCGTGTTGATTGTATTCATGTTTCTCACAAGAAGATCCATAATTTTCTTGTTCCTCCTCGCAGTTGCATAGCTTTGTCTCAAGAAGTCTTTGGATCTTTGTTCTTTGATCTGGAATGCCAATTATGTTCATCACTCATCCCCCACAACCAGAGAGAATTGTTTATTGTTGGAAAAAGTGTATCATAGAGCCGATGAAACCCGATTAGGCGGATTTTGAGTACTAGCCAAAGAGAGTGTTGTGAAACCTTATAAATTTGAATTGATATCAGAACAGTTCCACTAAGATGAGGGTTGTGTTCTTGTTTCAGGTTAGATTCAAGTGGAAAAGATAGAAACACAAAGGAAAGTTTGTGGCTATGCAGAAACAAGTCTTGTCTTTGGATGCAACAAATTGTGGCTATTGAAAACTGAAGATGATTGGACAATTTGAAAAGCTCATAGGTGTTTTCTACAAATGTAAAGATCTCTTTTGTGTCTTTTATTGCCACATCTCTTTTGGCAAAATACTCAATTTTGTTTTGAGTAAAAATTTAGACATGTAAGAGACCGGTCTTCAATGTCCGGACAAT